TGGTTATTAAGATTAATGATGTGAAAGTATTTGGTAACTATATGCAGGCTTAAAAATTCCATAACTAAGTATTTCAGAAGTATTTACAGTGTAGTTAAAGCATCCCTGTGTTTTCTGCATTAAGGAACAATAATTGCATCGTAGTCTGGAAGAAAGAAAGTTGTGATATTTCCCTATAGTACTGCTTCTGGAATTGCCCTACTCTCTTTCCCCCCTCTTAATGTGCTTTTTTGTTGTTAATTTATAAAATTTAGTGACATTAAACAAAAGCTAATATAAATTTTGAAGTGATCTTTCCCTATTTGCCAGCTAAAAATTAATAACAAAATTTTTAGGCATTAACTTCTTCTAAGTGGTGGGAAAATGTGTTAATGCTTCTTTTAATTTGAAAATTTATATTAGGCATGTTTGACTAAATGGAATAAAGATTATAGACTAGAAGGAACAGGAACCGAGGGAAATGATGTATTTTAAGAAATGGTTTTATGTCAGAAAACGTTTTGAACCAATTAATAAATATTTAATATTTATTTGACTCCACGAAAAAAAAGGTGGGAAGAAGAAATAGTTCTTATTTGTCTTGATATTTTTAGAGCATTGAATAAGATAGAGTCTATAAAGAAATTACAGAAAAATTATAATTAGTAGCAAGGAATTTGTTCTAAAAAAGGACCAGAATTTATTTCCTCTAAGAACACCTTCCCCTTTTTTCCTATGTTTATTGAACACCTATTAATTTTTCCAAGTTTGCACCAAACTCTATTTCTTCTGTAAATTTCTTTTCCTTTCTCAGCAGGTCCTGTGTCTTTGCTAACAATAAATACTTGACATCCTCCATAGCACTAGGTATCATTGCTTATTTGTTGTATGAGAAACTGCTTATTTTCTATTAAATTTTAAATTTCTTATTTGTAGAAATGAAACATGGAAGATCTTAATAAGAACTTAAGTTAATGGGAGACTTTTGAGAAGAAAATGGGATTTTTTATTAACCTTTTAAATATAGATTAGAGATGTTCTGAACCACATTGTCCGATACACAGCTACCATTCATTTGTGGCTGTTAAACACTTGAAATGTGACTAATGCAAACTGAAGAGTTTAAATTTGTATTAATTACAATTGGTAAATAGTGGATAATATCTAGTGGATCTAGAGTTCGCCTTGTAATTTCTCTTATTATTTCCCCCTAGTATGTATACTCTGAATCTATACTTGGAAATCTAGTATTCCTAGAATTAGTTACGTCCCTCACTAGAATACTACTTTTGTAAACAAACAACGTGGGCTAAATAATCTTTAAGGACTTTTGTAGGGTAATAGTTTTGTTGTTTTTTTTTAACATTTCATATATATGTTGTTGTTTACCATCAAATCAGAACCGACCCATAGCTAACCCTCCAACGGGTTTTCAGAGGCAATTAATCGAATGGGAGGTGATTGTCCTTCCTTCTCCCATGGAGCAGATGGTGGTCTCAAACTTAGTGCCTTTGGGATTGCAGTGCAGCTTTTTGCCATTAGGCCCCAGGGCTATAATTTATTCATGTGGCAGGTCTGTACTGTCAACTTCACATGTGTCAGAGTATAGCCATTTACAATAGGATTTCTGCTTTGTTTAAATTATAATTTGAGTAAATGGTTGTGAGTTGTTTTGATTCAGCCTCCTATTTAAAAATGCTTAGGCCTGGTTTTAATTGTTTTGGTCAAACATTCTTCTAAGTGGTATAGCACAGGTATGTGCATTTGCTGTACAGAGGTAACTCACGGTTGCTGTGATGCTAAAAACTGTGACACTGATATGGCAAGTGTGATAATGGTTACCCATGGTGGACAGTGTTTGGTGGGGCTTCCCAATAAAAACTACCTTGAAAGCAGGTATGGCAGCCACTTCCTAAATAGCTTGCCTCTGGAAAATATATGAATATGGAGAAATGATGAAAGTTATCCAAGCGTTCAAGTCTTTCGTTCATAGGGTCGTTATGAGTCGCCTTAGACTTGACTACACTTAACCACCATCACCACCACAACAGCAACAATAGTTTACAAAGTAAATTAATTTTTTATTTCTTTATTCATATACATTTTATAACATTCATTTCAGTACCTACAATGTAATCACACACTTTTCCTGCTCTTCTTTGCAATTCTAATTTGCAAGAAACTTTTACACTTCTATCTTCCCTTTCTTTAATGATGATGTGTTGATAATCTAATTTTATATTGGTTTTCAATTTTGTGCAAGATTTTAGTTATCTACAACTGAAGTATATGTATGTGTATGTATATTAGCATACATATTACATGGTAAACTTTTTAATCCATTTTTCTCTATGGTCACCTTTCTCTTGTCTTCTTTTTCAGTTCTCAGTCTGAGACTTCTGTACACCTATGCATTTTAGTTTTACCAACTTTACTCTTTTTGTTCCAATTTCCATTTTTATTCAACTCAATTCACCTCACTATTTTACAGATGTTCCCTACAAAATTGGAAAAGATCAGGGAGACTTATGTAAGCTCAGAATTAGTATCAAAGATTATTCAGACACTGTTGTTTGGTGCTATCATGTCACATAGGACTCATAGCAACCCTATGAACAAATCTGTCCTATTTTGTCCCATCCTCATAATTTCTGACAAACTTGAGCCCACTGATGCTGTCACAGTGTCAATCCATCTGGTTGAGGATCTTCCTCTATATTGCCTAAGCTTTACTTTTCCAAGCTTAATATCTCTTTCTAAGAAATAGTCTCTCATGCTTCTTTTTGACATATTGCACTGGTAAAGTCTGTAGTCAAGGACCTCTCCAAATTATTGAAGAGCAATGATATTAGTTTGAGGATTAATACATGACTGATTCAGGACAAGACCTTTTCAGTCACTATCCATCTGGGTGCTGGACAATGAATAAGGATGACAGAAGAAGAATTGATGGTTTTGAACTGTATTGTTGGAGAAGATTAAAAGAACAAACAGATATATCTTGGAGAAAGTACAGTCTTGGATCTAAAGTGCTCCTTGAAGGCAAAGATAAAAAAGCTTCATCTCAGATACTTTGGGCACATGGCTAGGAGAGGTTATATATTGGAAAGGGACATCATGCTTGGGAAGGTGGATGGATGGCAAAAGGGGGGAAGACCTCAACCAGGTGGTTTGACCCAGTAGATATAGCAACAGTCTTCAGTGTGTCAGTGATTATGAAGATGGAACAGGAAAGAATAAGGTTCAGATCGGTTGTTCATTGGGTCATTTATAGGTCATACTCTAATCAATGGCACCTAATAACAATAACATATTCAAAGTACGTGATATGAAACTTTGTCATTTTGCCTCCAAGGAGCATTTTGGATGCATTTTTCCCAAATATATGTGTTTGTTCTATTATTGAATATTTGAAAACTCTCTGAAAAATAGAGAAACATAAGTAACTATAGAGTATTCAGAAACTAAGAAGTTTCAAAACACAGAGATGAGGTAAGAGGGCAGCATCATGGTAAATTGAGACAAGATTGAGATTGTTAACATTTGTTAGCAATATTGCTTAGATCCACAAACAACACTCTTGGCACCAGCAGTCAAGAAATCAAAATATTAGTTGTTTTGGGAAAGTCTGCTGTGAGGGCCCTCTCCAGAGTGTTAAAGAGCAACAAGGTCAGTCTGAGTACTAAAGTGCACCTGATCCAGGCCATGGTCTTCACAGTTACTTGCTGTGCATCAGAGAGCTGGACAATGACTAAGGATGATAGAAGGAACAATGCCTTTGAGTTGTGGTATTAGAGAAGAACATTGGATATGCCGTGGGCTGCCAAGAGAACAAACAGGTCTGTTAAGGAGAGCGTTGTTCCTTGGATGCAAAGATTTTGAAGCTCAGTCTCACATACTTTGGGCATGTTGGCAGGAGGGACCAGTGCATCATACTTGGGAGCATGGAGAAGACAGCACAGGAAAGGAAGACCCTGTATAAGATAGATTAACATTGTAAGTGTTGTAATGGTGGCAGCCATATTGGAGACCGTGTGATTGGCTCAGTAAGCGCAGGGTTCATAGCTGTTGCTCACAGAGTTACTATGAGTTGTAGTTGATTTTACGACAAAAATAACATCACCTAGGGAGGTATAGAAACAGGAATGGGTCAATGGCTATAAATTAAGAATATGAGGTTAATGTTATATGTATTTATTTCCAAGGGAACTCCTGATGTTTGATAGTTTGGTAGTAAGAATTGTGCTGCCAACCTAAAGGTTCATGGTTCAAACTCACCAGCAGCTTTATGGAAGAATGATAGATCTCCTCCATTTTGATTTGTTACCTTTGGAAACCTGGAGGGTCAGGTATGAGTTGGTTTTCACTCTACAGTATTGTTTATTGTCAATTCCTTGTCAAGATTTGTCTACATCTTATCACACATACTTTGAGTGACCTTTATATACCACTAAAGGTTCTATTGTACTCACCTATATTAAGTGTGTTTTGAATGAATTGCTATCATAATTGAAGTCAGTGACCAACCATAATTATAGCACAGAATGGTCTCAAGAGACACATACTTGAGATGAAATGTGGCTAAGAGGAAAGACAACTAGAAAGGCTGAAAATATTTACTTAATTCATAAACGCACCTGCAAGTTTTAAAAGATGAAGTCATCTCTATCTCTTCTCTCTATTCTGCATTGCATTACGCTCTTGGCCACTTCCTTTCCTTGTCATGGACATTTATTTTGCTTTCATGTTTGTTCCATTCTCTCATTAACAGATGGATGATCACTTCAGATGTTCATGATGAAAGGGATATTCCATGTGGAAGTGGTGCAATTATTTTTGGTAACTACAGGTAAAACATTTTTACACTGATTACATGATCTTGAGAAACGGGGGGAGTAAAGGTGGGGAATAAAGTTTTCACAATGTGAATATCCAATGTGAATATTCAGTCCAAGCACATTAATGCTATTTTTATATTTTTTTCCACCTGATAACTTTAGAGCACTCTAGATGATAAATCAATGGATGGAACAAATCACACAGTGGTGTCAGAGTTTGTGTTCTTGGGACTTTCCAATTCCTGGGAGATCCAACTTGTCCTCTTTGTGTTCTCCTCCATGTTTTATGCGGCAAATGTGATGGGAAACTCTCTCATTGTCCTTACAGTGATATCTGACTCTCAGTTAAATGCCCCTATGTACTTTCTTTTGGCTAATCTTTCTTTTATTGACCTGAGTGTTTCTTCTGTCATTTCACCCAAGATGATTTATGACCTTTTCAGGAAACGTAAAGTCATCTCCTTTGGAGGCTGCATTGCTCAGATCTTCTTCATTCATGTTATTGGTGGTGCAGAAATGGTGTTGCTCATAGCCATGGCCTTTGACAGATATGTAGCCATCTGTAAGCCTCTCCACTACCTAACTATTATGAGCCAAAAAATGTGTATTTTGCTCCTTGCTGCCTCATGGCTAATTGGTTTGATCCACTCCATGATTCAATTAATTTTTGTTCTAAAATTGCCATTTTGTGGCCCCAATGTGTTGGACAGTTTTTACTGTGACCTTCCTCGATTTATCAAACTTGCTTGTGTAGACACCTACAGATTAGAGTTCATAGTCACGGCCAACAGTGGGTTTATATCTCTGGGATCGTTCTTCATACTGATCATCTCCTACATTTTCATCCTGATCACAGTTCGAAAACATTCCTCAGGTGCCTCATCCAAGGCTCTGTCTACTTTATCAACTCACATTATGGTGGTGGTTTTGTTCTTCGGTCCTTGCATCTTTGTTTATACCTGGCCTTACCCAACATCACACCTAGACAAAATTCTTGCCATTTTTGATGTGCTTCTAACTCCTTTTCTGAATCCAGTCATCTATACATTGAGGAACAAAGTGATGAAAATGGCAATAAGGAGAGTGTGCAGTCAATTTCTTGTTCACAGAAGTATTTCTCAAATGACAAAAGTATTATGAAGTGCCCATATTATTTAGGAGTATCAGCAAATTTATATTGTTTTAATTGCAAGAGTTGTCAAGTATATTACTAATATTGGTGTGTCCCAGATTAAAACAACATGCTTCCTTTAAAATATTAACTGAGAAATTGTGTTGCATGGTCAATGTTAACTGAAACAAGTGGTAGGAAAAACTTATTTCTAGGAGACCTAATTTTTATTTATTAGGAGACTTTACTTTGGTACGTTTACCATGATCCAGATTTCAAAACTCAATCTCTTCAATGACACAGAATGATTTTTTTAAAAGGATATTGAATTGATATGGTTAAACTTGACACAATATGCATGAATGAATGTGTATGTGTGTGTATATATACACACACACACACACATATACACACACAATAACATACTATGACAGGTTTTGGAAGCAGGAGTGGCATCCACTTCCTAAATAACATGCCTCAGGAAACTCTATGAGCTTTGATAAATGTTGATAGTGGTAGAGGGGCTTCAGGCCTTTTGTTCATAGGATCACTATGAGTCATGCTCGACTCAAAGGCAATCAGCAAAAACAATCAGCAACAACATACACAATTGACATCTTTTGTATAGTTACCAATTTATTAATTTGTCATAAAATATCTGTCAAGTGTTCTGACCTTCTTCTACATGGTCCTAATTCATTCTTTTACTATAGAAATATGTCAGGAAAATGACATTATTATGAAACATTGATGAGCAGAGAATGAGAACAAGAGGAATGACCCAGATTACTTAAACATTTACTGTTTTGTTAATGCCCACTTTTTTCCTATGCTAGTGTATATTATTATCTCTTGCTGCTGAGTCAGAACTGACTCATAGCTGGCCCTTCAGTGGGTTTTCAGAGGCTGTAAATCTCATGGGAGGAGATTGCTTCTCCTCCTCCAGCAGAAAAGCTAGTGGATTTGAACTGTGTACCACTGGGATTACAGTATAGCCTCTTACCATTAGGCCACCAGAGTTCCCCAGTGTGTACTAGGCAACATAATGTTAATAGTAAGATCCTTGGGCAAGACCATTCTCTTGTTTAAGCTGTTTAGTCTGATTATCACAAAATTTTCCCTAGCTCCTGTTTGCATTATATTATAGGCTGTTGATTCCCTCTCTTGTTGTGGTGGTATACCGTCAAATCAGAACTGACTCATAGCTCACCCTCTACCCTCCTCACACAGGAGATTTTCCATCTTTCTCCCACAGAACAATTAGTGGATTTGAACCACATGCCTTCGGAATTGCAGCACAGGTTCTTGCCAGTTGACCACCAGTGCTCCTTATTCCCTCTATCCCTTAGATTATCGAAAGCACCTTCTTTATTTACATGTGTTCTTCTGGTAAAAGACTATTTCAATTGCGTTTGTATGATTTCAGTCATAGTAAGCTAATTTTTAGTTTGGGAGGTGTTTGATATGTGAGTGATTTGGGAAAAGGTTGAGAGATTTTAAAATTACAATTCATACCAATTTTGACAAAAAATAGCCAAGCCTAAATCTCATCTAAAGATATAAAGTATTCTTAACATTTTTTTAAATGAAATTTTTATTTTATAGTGGTTTACTTACAAAGTGTATATACATTGTTTTTCATACCGATCTTAACCTTATAATGCATTTTAACCAATTTATTATGATTTGTACTTGTTATTGTACATACCTTGATCAGATTGCTAGGAAGAGCCAAGACATCATGCTTGTAAAAGTGAAGGATTAGTGAAGGAATGGAAGACCCTCAAAAAATGGACTGACAGATAACTGCAATGATAGATTTAAGCACAGTGGAGAATATGAGTGTGACATAGGGTTGGACACATTTTCAGCCTGTGGTACACCATGATTTGAAATATACTTAACTGAACCTAACAACAGGAATATAAGAAGCTGTGGAGCTCTGGTGACCTAGTGGTAAGAAGCTGTCCTGCAATCCCAAAGCACATGGTTTGACTCCATCAGATGCTCCACAGAAGAATGAGCCATTTCTTCTTGAGTGATTAACTAGCAATTAACTGTCTCTGAAAACCCATCAGAGGGTCAGCTATGGGTGGTTTGGACTTGATGGTACTCAGCAACAAAAGAAATAACTTAAAGGGTCCTTATTTTATGTCATAATTTAGCTCATGTGACAGTTCACTTATCTTATGCTTTTCAATATCTTTTTTATGATTTTTTAAAAATTTTATTTTATTAATTTTAATGAACATTTACAGAGATTTTGGATTTCTATTCATTCATTATTGCACTATTTTCTCTACACCCCTCCCAGGTCGTTCCTCTCTATTTTTTTCCCCCCTTGAAAGTTATTTAATTGTCCCATTGCCACAGTGCTTGTCAAAACCAGCTCTGATTAATCTCCTTTGTCAGTGTGTCCTTTGCCATTCCCTATCACTCCTCCCTGTGAAAGATTTCACCATGATTCATAAGGAAAAGGGGATGGTGTATTCTCTTAGCTACTTTCTGCTGAAAAGGGACGCTGTAGGTTTCAGGGTGAAGATCTTCTCTCACTACTCTAAAGGGCCCCTTTGGCAATAGGAAACATGTAGACTACTGTGGAGATTGATTTTGGAATTTAGATGCACTGTTATCAGTTGTGCTTAGCCATACATGTTCATAACCTTGAAGATGAATCATGGAAGTGTTGTAGCCTAGAAGACACAAATTTAACTAACAAGTTAAAAGTACATGAGTTAAAAATTAAAAGCAGTAATATTCTAAGTAAAGGTACTAACAGTGGTACAAATCAAGTTACAGAGGGAAGGTAGTTCTTAAAATAAAAGGCTTATTGACTAGCACTTTGTCTATATAGGGTAAAGGTTAGGAACCAGAAGATGTAGAGGCTCAACTATGTCATATATTGTTCTTAAGTCCTGGACCAAATTCCATCCACCACTGGGTTGTTTTACAGCTTAGAAGTCCGCATGCAAGGCAGAGGTGAAGTTAGGAAGTGCTTATGAGGTTTTCCGTCAATTCCAACAACTAAGAAATAGTGAGAAGAGTTGGGACCTCAGAAGGCTTTTAGGACCAAGTAATAAGCTCTTGTGTCTAGGAGAAAATGAAAATACATACCAGTAATGTTAATGCTCACCCACAGCTCTTGTGGAAGGATCTAAATCATTGAAGCATCCTCCCTTGTTTCCAGCTGAGAGCTGGGGCCTGTAAATCCTGTCAGCCATGAGGACCTGATGTGGGCTGCCCTTGGCCATGTGTCCTTCAGATCCACGCTTAAAGCAAGTGAGTGGGAGCTTCCTTTCTACTCCCTTGCCTACCTGTGGCTCTCTTCTGTGACACTGTCTATTGAAGTGGCCCAGCTTTCCACAGTGGAAGCAATTCTGACCTCCTTAATACCTTTGGGTGGCATTGTTTATGAGTAAGACTTCCTTTTCCTGACACAGGCCCTAAACTGGCAGCAATTGCTGCCCCAATAATTTGGGCTATTCTCTGGTCTTTTTTCTTCCCTCTAGATCCCAGTTGTTAAAAGAGGGAAAAATTTAAACTAATATGTAACAAATAATTTTGAACATTATAATCTTTTAAACTTAAGACTAAAATATTATCAATATGATCATTTCCAATGCAGTTCTTATTTTCCATAAATGGTTTTGGTAAGAAGAATATTGTAAATGTGGATACAGTTCCACTATTCCTCCTCCATGCCATGATATAGTGTTATTAGCATGAGCAGGTATAAATCAATTGCCTTCTTTACTTTAGCTTAAATTTTTTTAAAATTTAAATTTATTATTAATTTCAGTAAAAATTTACAGAGCCTTTGAATTTCCATTCATTCATTGTTGCACATTTCTCCCGTCTCAACCCTCCTCCATAGAACACTACCCTCTTGGAACAGTAAAAGAAAAATTCTTTTATTGTTTTACAAACACTCCCCTAGGTCCACTCTACCATGTAGCCTTCACTCTAGACTTATGTCAGGACAAAAATACCTAATCACATATCCCTTTTAAATAGTTTTCTCCCTCATCTGTTTTCAGTGCAGTATATATTATTGAACCTGTCTTTCTCAGTCTCTCCCCAACCCCAAGGTCAGTCCTGTTTTACAACAGTGGCACCATGCAGTATTTGTCCTTTCGTGACTGGGATACTTCATTCAGCATGATGTCCTCCAGAGTCATCCATTTTGAATAATATTGCACGAGTTCCTTATTTTTCAATGCAGCATAGTATTCCATTGTGTGAATATACCACAGCTTTTCTATCCATTCATTTGTTGATGGGAACTTAGATTGTTTCCAACTCCTTGCTATTGTGAACAAAGCCACAATAAACATGGGTGTGCATATATCTGCTTGGATGTCAGTTATGGTCTCTTTGGGGTATATTCAAAGTAGTAGACTTGCTGGGTCAAATGGTATCTCTATTTGCAACTTTTTGAGAAAGTGCCATACCTCCTTCCACAATGGTTGCAGCATTTTACACTCCCACCAACAGTGAATAAGTGTTCCAATTTCTCCACAATCTCGCCAGCATTTGTTGCTTGCTGTTCTGTTAAATTTTGCTATTTTGACTGGGGTGAGATATCTCATAGTTATTTTAATTTGCATCTCTCTTAGAGCTAGGGATTTTGAACATTTCTTCATGTGCTTGTTAGCCATCTGAATGTCATCTTTGGTGAAGTGCCTGTTCATATCCTGTGCCCATTTTTCTATTGGATTATTTACCTTTAGCTTGTTGTGGTGTGCTTTCCAATATCTTTATAGCAACTATTTGATATGAGCTTCCTAGTGTGTAAGAGAGGGAGCTCTGTTGGCCAAGTGGTAAAAAACTATGCTGCGATCCAATCCCAATGGCACATGGTTTGATTCTACCATCTCCTACATGGACAATCTTGTTGTAATTATATGCCTCTAAAAACCCACTGAAGGCTCAGCTATGAATCCATACAACAACAGAGTATAGGGAGTTTTCCTGTTAACACTTATCTGGCAGTTCTAATCCACAGTGGTTTTGAAAGAAAGATGGGCAG